GAAATACTTGAACATGTAGCCAAGCACCTGGGAAAGACGGCTGAACTGGGCTAGTATAGACCAAACCATTTGAGCTGACTCTCTTCATTCATATTTTGTTGCCAGAAGCACACATCTGAAATAAGAAATTTTCTGCCCAGACTAGCCAGGTTAAAAACGAACAACGTCCTGACCTGAAATTTAACACAACAAACTCAGACTAACCGTTTTGTAATACTTGCATGGTGATAAGCAATAAAGCGGGGGATACAAAGCCCACCTCCAACCACTTCTTGGATGCAGTTAAGATGTGAATTACAAGGCTCTGAAAGATGGCAATCCCCAAGAACAATTTTCCTCCTCTACTCATCCCCCACATGCCCTCAGACTCTTACGGTAACAACTCGATACACCTCTAGCTAAGGGTATCTTTTGTACTTGGCACCTTCAGACTTAAACCCATACACCATTCTTTACTGTCCCTCTTCTTGTAGTTCTGACTTTTGATAGCCTCTTCTCATCTCTATATAAAAGCTTCTGTGCATTTGAACACGTGTTAGAGGTGCTGGTTAACTCAGTTCCAGCTTGGTCTGTAGAGAAGACAGTGCAGGAAAAATACATTTTCTTCAACCCACGTTTCTAGCTACCATTTCCAGAATTCCTTCTGCTACCCTTAGGGACTACGCTCAGTTTTAGTACTCCAAATGACATAAACAGCATTGTGCACATAGAATTATGTCAGTGTTGTATTTGTCTTTAGAACACACAGCCAGAGCCATAGAGAAACTACTACACATAAAGCTAATAAACTTACCTGCTCCCAACATAACTGAGGGGTTACTGGTGTTTGTACAGCTTGTAATGGCAGCAATCACTACTGAACCATGAGCAAGCTCGAAGTCACAGCCCTCAAAATTAAATTTGACTATGCTGTTATGTCGGCTTGGGGCAATTTGGAATCCCTTGAATCCTTGCTGTAAGGGGAGAAAGTAAGAATCAAAAGGATGTAGTTAATATGAGTATTTTGACTGAAAATTAGTATGGGCTGGGAATTTCATGAATGAGAAGCATCTGAGAGCCACACCCATGCTTGCACTTTTAGGTCTGGTGGTCAAGGCTTGCATCTCTGGTCAAAGTGGTGGACAAAAAATATTTTTCTGAAGTCTATCCCTATTCTCTGTTTACTGGTAAGAGGCAGCCTTTGCAGCAAAATATATTTGTGTTTTCTTCCTGCATGAATATATCCTTATTCAGATTGCTCAGATGCTTCTTGCTCCCATATACTCCAGATTCCTGACCATATATAGTCTCGTTACACAATCTAGTCCTAAGGTTTTAGCCATAACACATAAGATTTTTTAAGCCACAAATATCAAACAGCTCAAACATGCTAAGAGCTAACTTGAGAGGCAAAAGTCTGACGGTTGGAAAACAAACAAAAACCAAGGAGGCACTGTTCACATCCTGAAAAGTTAAGCTTATAGACCTGAAAGCGTAAGGTCTTTTAATGGAGTTTGGAACACGTAACAAAACAAGAATTATTGGGAATTGCTGTAGTTCAACTTTCTTGATTTGCATCACTAGGATTCTGTACTGCCTTTAACAAGGGCAGTTACCTGATAACTGATTCAAATATTGATTTCAAATCAATTCAAAAATTGATTTTTCAATTCAATTCAAAAATTGATTTCAAATATTGATATCAAATACTGATTCAGGTAAGGATTCAAACTGATTTTGGAAACTTAAGTGACTGGGCTTATTCATTCAAATGAAAATCTTAGCTCTTCTTTTAATGTACATTTTTGACTGGATGACGTAGAAAGTGGTTGTCTTTTTTCCCCCTGTATTTAACACCAACATCAAAGGGTCTGATGTGCTGAACACATTCAGTACTGAATGCAAAACTACATTGTGGAGCTCAGGGCATAACCTGCTTGGAAAGCTGAAGAGCTGGGTAGTCAGAACAGAGCTTAGTGCAGTAGCTACTTGGTCCACTCTAGTAACAACACCCATCATGGCTAGTTCAGAAATCCCTAGTGTATGTCAAAACCATGTTGGGCCTAAGGCTGATCTAAAATCAGAAAGAACTACTACTTGAATAGGACATGAACACTTTCATGTGAGAGAAGCATCACACCAATTTTAAACTATCTATTGTTGATGTAATCTTCTAAACCCCTTTCAAACATTCTCATTTACTTTCCAACAGGCAAACAACACGCAAATTAACCCCAGAATGTAGTTCCTGAACACTAGACAACTTTTAGAAGCATGCATTAGTTTGTATGCCGAAATGTTCCTAGTCCCTACCTTGGCTCCCAGACAAGTCTCAAAGTCCTTCTTCATATCTGACACAGCAACTTTGTCCTGAGGTCTTTTTGGTCCACTGCAGCAAGGCACAACAGTATGGAGATCCAACTCAACAACCTATTTAGTAAGAGGAACAGAGAGCATTTCAGCACTGCATGACAAGTTGAAGCCAGTTAAGCCACAGGTATGTTTACTGCTGCTGTTGGACCAATGCTAAGTCTGCACATCTTTATGTTTGTTTGCAGACATTATAAAAGACATATGAGGGAAAGATCAGAAGAAAAGGAACAGTTCTACTTTTAGACCCTGCCAGCTCCCAGGTATGGCTCGCAAAAGTACCCCACTTATTGAAAACCCAATGTGTGACTAAAGCATCTAAACAATGCAGATGATTTTGAGAATTATATCCTTTCATACGCTAGCAGCAGGGTCCTCTTCAGAAAACAATGATGTGAAGAAATCCTGGTACTATCATAAACCAAAGCAGACTATTGGTATTGGCCTTAGGGAAAACACTCAGTCTATTATGAAACAGATTATTGTATTTTCCTATTCTTCACCCAGGTTTCAACTTTGTTTTTACAGTGTGCTGCTTCTTTCCATAATTACTAAGGTTTTTGAACAATCATGCAAACCTGAACATGTTACAAGACAAATTCTTACTGTAGAGAAAACCAGGAATATTCTTGAGTTTCCTGGACACAGAGTAGGATCTTGATTTTCTTGCATAGAAAACATCTTGTGTGGTCTGTGGTTACCACCCAGAGCTTCTAAGTGTCCTGATTCATAGAGTAAAGTAAGTTGTTGAACAGAAAAGGGTAAAACTGGGACAAGGCTTACACAGACACTATACATGCCATCTTCATAGCTGTGTTTGAGTCTGGACTGACTTCTCAAAACTACCTGGATCAAGTTGCAGCATCTGCACCAGCTAGAGCTCAGTTGAGAGTTAATCTGTACCTATGCTCAAGTTTTCACACCTGGAGATCCAGCTGATTCATTCCACTAGGCCCTAAGTTAAAGACAGCTGTGTGGACCAGGCCAAAGGACAAGAAGTCCCTTGACTATTTCTTAGTTTCTGTGAAGAACACAATTGTCATATTAAAATAGGGCAAGGTATAAAGCAAAAAGCCAGAAGACAGTAGTTTCTAACCTGTGTGAAGTCTGGATCCTGAGAGGAGTTCTTGAAGTCTCTTAGCATTCCCACAGCCTCAAGATACTTTTTTGTGCACATAACTTTCTCTTTATCACGGCCTAAAGTGAAAGTCAGATACAGCAAAAACAAAATGAAAATGAAACTGAGGAACTACTATGTGACAGAAAAAGAAAAAGCCTAACAGGCTATTTCACTGTTCACACTGTACATTGCACTACAAGGCCCTTTCAGCACAAACATTAGAGACCCACTAGAAACAAAGCAAGTGAGCAGACTTAGTGGCTTTTGCAGAAAAAAAATTTAGGTTCCTGCTTCTATCATCTGGACAAGCTAGGTTCAGGCAGGGTTGAGCAGGCAGTTAGCTGCAAAAGAGTCTAAAACTCATCTCTTCCTAAACATGGACCCTAAGAGCAAGAAACAGCCTGAATAAGCAAGTATGGATTTAAAAAAAGCACTTAAGCTCAGAAGGCTCCACCTGATTCAGTGCCATTGCTGAGTACATCATATAGACCTGGAGTCCTTGTTTTCAATTATACCTTTAACTCATGGTCTCTTCTTACACTTACCAGTTTGTATCAGGTACCCAATGCTAATATCATCCACTGGGAAATAGGCAGCTGTTGCTCCATACTCTGGACACATATTGGCAATGGTGGCTCGGTCAGCAATTGACAGCTGGGCTACTCCAGGACCAAAAAACTCCACGAATTTACCCACAACTCCAACTTGGCGAAGGTGCTGTTATAAAAATATAGTGCCTGTGTCACTGCTAGGTGTCAAACGACATGAGCATTTATGTTATGAAATCCAGTTTTTGACTTCAGAGAAATCGTTTTTGAAGGTTTCTATAGCCATTTGAAATGAGTAGACTTTGGTAAACTAAATCACGAAGATGAGGACACAGAGATGTAGTTTCAGTAATGAGGTACAACACAGGGATGTATCCCTTCTAAACTTGCTCTTCCTCTCATTTAAACTAGAGTCTATCTTAGAACAACTGTATTTTTCTCAACATGCCATTCTAAGGAAAAGAGAACAGTGTGGGGTCTTTAGCCAGCAAAACCAGGAAGATGGGGAAACAAGAAGAACCAACCACACAAGTACATGAACCAAATTGTAAGTGACCAAATACACACAACACCTGAATGAATTCATAAAAAAACATTGGCTTTCCCCATCTGGAGGTTCTCTCTAGAGACAGCATCCCATGATAAACGTGTTTACCAGATTGCTGGCCTCCAACAACACTAAAGCTGGCCCAGTAATACTCAGTTCAGTCACAACTCACAGACTAAAAAAATATACCATAAACATATAACATGTAAGACATACCTGCAGATCAAAGAAATCTGACTGCAGCACTTACTGTCTGTTTTCAGGTTTTACACTGCCTTATTTTAAGTGAGGGCTTCAAGTAAGAATGTCACTGTGTTCCTTTTGAGGCAGCAGAGAAATAAGATCCTCTTACAAGCACAGTTGTTCCAAAACAGGTCTGGACATGAGGATTTGAACAGGCCATGAGATATCAACTCTCTGTTCTATTTTGCCTGGCTTCGGGGAAACAGATTTGTGTAGTAAATCTGCCATTGTCCTTGGGCAGCTGATTCCAACCCACACAGAGCGATCAAGCTTAAAAAAAGTCCAAAATGACTACATGGAAGCACACACACAGGGCTCCTAAGCATGCAGTACAGTGGCTCTATGCTACGGAACACATATAGCTTCCAGCAGTAATGGCAAAACAGCAGACTTGTTCATTACCTTGGTAATGGTAAGCACAATGTCAGTGGATGTTACCAGTGGCTGAGGGTTTCCCAGCAGCTTATAGCCAATCACCTCCGGAAGCACCATGCTGATTGGCTGGCCCAACATCACCGCTTCTGCTTCAATGCCACCGACACCTGTACGCAACAGAAGTATACAAGCCAACTATTCAGAGAGATAGTAACGTGTCAAAGGTAAACACATGAATTACAACTGACTGATGATTACTCAACTCAAGGTGTGAAAGGGGAGAGAAGGCAGACAGCCAGAGGGCTTGGCTTAGCCTTCTGCCAGAGGCACTCCTCATCTTGCTTCAGCTTCTGCAAAGCTTTTTAATTTCTTTCCATTTCATACTTTCATCCTTGTTCCTCAGCTGTTAGATAGGATATTAGGTAAATCTAAGTAACTTACTCTGAGGACACTTGGCTTTTACAGTAACAGATGTAAAAGTTTTATTTATCCAATGCATAAACAAAGAACAACTGACAAGGCATTGAACATGGTGTGCTGTGAGTGAAATGCATGCAGACCATGACTACGGTTCAAAAGTAACTTAAAAAGTTATTTTGAAAGAAAGATTATTAGAGTCAAGAGTATAGACTGTTGTAAAGAATACTAACAGAAAAGCTACTTGTTAAGACAGAAATACCTTCCTTAAATCTATTTAAAGTTTCAACATGGCTTGGGCATGTGCAGATGGGAACCTCTGTGTAAGCACACCTTCACTATTAGACGAATGCAATTCAAGTGACAACTTCATTTTGCTAGTTTAATAAAGTAAAGTGTCAAGATGTTATAGTCATATGCAATCTAAAAAACCTATGATGTTTATAGCAATTTGGCATTAGGCAGCAGTCTTATAACTTTTTGGATGTAGAAAGTCCCTCTTGTTTATCTTCCTCTTTCAAATCTCCTTCTACATTTTGTTTAGCCCAAGTAATACTGAACTAGAACAAATTGCCTGTAACAGTTGCTTATGTATGCCAAACCATTACTCCTATTCTTTCTTGCACTTAATCTAGTAATTATTCCGAAAATTTATTTCCAATTTATTTTATGCAAAATGATATACCTATCTTAATTAAAAAGTCTGAAACAAAGCTTAGTCCACCAACAGGCTATTCACAATACGCTACTGCACATACCCCAGCCAAGCACTCCCAAGCCGTCTATCATGGTGGTGTGCGAGTCAGTGCCCACCACACTGTCTGGATAGTAGTAGCCATCCTGATCCATAACCACTCTTGCCAGGTACTCCAAGTTCACTTGGTGGATGATCCCAGAGCCTGGAGGAATAATCCTCATGTTTTTAAAAGCCTGAGAGCCCCACTGAAACAGAAGGAATTGGAATAAAAAATTTTCAATGCACATGAGCACTGGGAGAACTTTTGTTCATTGCACTTTTCTCCATGCAAATAGGATTAATTCTTTCAGTACCTTTAAGAATTCAAACCTTTCTTTGTTCCTTTCAAATTCCAGGTCCTGATTTTTTTGCAAGCTGTCTGACCTGCAAGTGAAAATAATCAGCTGTCAGAACCAAAAGTGTCCACCCGAAAATTACATCTGGTCAGATATACCTAAAGGTTGAAAGAAGAGTTATTAGCTAATGTTAATGCTGATCAATATCATCTTTTCAATCTCACTGCAGCTGTGAGCTGCAGGCAACCAATGAAATGGATTTAAGAAACCTTAAGAGACAATACCTGAAGTCTGGTTCAAATGTGAGTGCTAATCTGCATATTCTATATGTGGCAGGCCTAAAACTTGTATCTTGGGAAAAGCTATGCTACATGTTAGAGCGATGTGAAGTACCCAACCTGAATCAGAAGCAATCAGCAAAGCAGTAAAGGGAACTCGAACACAACTGCCCTGCAACTTGAGTTAAGAAGAGGTTATCACTGATGATACAATGCTGGCTGAAACTCCTGTGTTTCGAAGCAGACAGAGCTAAAAAACTTTTCACTTGAACCAGCTACCTAACTCAGGCCTGAAGAGTTTGAAAGAACTGAAGCATAGGGCTGGCCAGTGGTCTATCCATATATACACAAGCCTAACAGAAATAAAGTAAGTATGTGACAAAAAGTAATTATTAGCAAAAAAATACTGAAGTCCCAGATACTAGTGATAACATAAAATGAATGTTATAAAAATAATACAGAAAAAGAATAGTAATCGTTGATTTTGTCCTATGGTAAAGATGAAATCATATCTTGTTCAAAAGAAATACACTGTTTCCCAAAGATCTTAGAAAATTATGTGAAACAAAAAAGAAAAAAATTAGGTGTTAGAACACCCATTACCCCAGAGATCAATCTTTAGATGACTAGTTCTAATATTGTAACTGTTTCTAAACTCCTTAGTGTTATGTTAAGATTAAGAAGAGACACAGCATCTGTAGAAAAAAATTAAAGGGAGTTGATTTTTGACAGTTACCTACGTCAAAATTTTTTGGGCCTTCTTCTCCCCTGCCAACTACAAAATGGCAGTGAGAATTTGTATCCTCGCTAGTCTATAGCTAAAAAATAGTTATAAAAAAGTTACATTGGAAAACTGTCTGTCAGCATTCTTCTATAAAGAGGCTTCACAATACATTTCTGCTCAGAAGTTCAGTATTTTTATTCTAAAGAAGCCTCTAAACATTGGCAGTGAGAAAGTGCTCTTTATGTTCTTTAATGTCCACCTTCTAGGAATTTTCTTCTTTGCAATGCTATAACTTAAGTAGCCCACTTCAAAACGGTCCCCTATAGAGGATGATAAATACACAGAATTAGCAGGCAAGGTGACTGCAGACAAAAAAATCTTCTGGAGTTTGGAAGATGGAAGGAAACCACTGAAAAACATGTAACTGCAGGATCTGTTTGGAAGAGTAGTTCAGTAGGCCCATGTTTAGATACCATGGAGGGTAGAAGGACCCCTATGCAGAGGTCTTGTATTTCATTGTGAGTCTAGTGAGTGCTAGCAAATGCTCATCTCTCTATAGCATGCTGAGGACTGAATAGCATTGTGTTTCCTTCCTATACTTACAGAAGCCATATGAATCAGTGTCATGTGCTCTTCTGCATGGAGGTACTGAACTGGCAAACAATTCCTGAGAGCTAGGCCAGGGCAGCTTAGGTCTATTCTTAGATACATAAGGAAGAAAGGAGACACTCTTGCTTGCCCTTTCCAAAAAGCCCTACGGGGTCAAAAAAGTGCATGTGGAAAAAAGCTATTTCTGAGCAACTAATAATAATGCAGTATTATTATGGAAAAGTATGATCACCACAGGTCTAGACTGAGCCTGCTTCTATTAGCATTTAGTGCAGGCTTGTGCTGCTGAGAGATGCACCACAGAAAAAAACACAAAATTCCCCCAACTAATTCACAGCAACTGATACAACAGTCCAACTTAAACACTTCTTAGGGTCTAGGATGCTGATAACATTACCAATGGAACTACTTTTATTATCAGTAACTGGATCTAGCTTATTTACTACCATTAAGAAGTAAGAGTTATTTTGTATCCTTACCGCCTGTTAAAATCAACCTGGATGGAGTGATCTATCACTAGATCAGCAGGACAGATAGGATTGATTTTTTCAGGGTCCCCACCAAGTTTCTTCACAGCATCACGCATCGCAGCAAAGTCAACCACAGCAGGTACCCCACTGAAACAGAAAAGAGATAGGCAAGGTGAAACAGTTTGGAAAAGAAAAAAACCCAAACACAGCCAAGATCCTGAGATGCAGAACAGACACCTACTATCCCATACAAAGCAAACCTTAGCCTTACCCTGAGTCTTGGGATCATTATAATGTCTATGGCAGAGACAATACCCTGGGGAAGACAAAGTCAGAAGAGCAGAAGGGACTGCATCTATATCTTGAGCACTGCAAGAATGAAAAGCTAAAACCAAAATTCATCAAATAACAGAAGCTGTTTAATATGCTTGGCTGGGAATCTGGAAACTTAGTCCTAGTCAGCACTCCTTTGGGACCTTGAACTGGTTTCTCTTTTTTTTGCTCTGTTCCTCCCTCTCCTCCCCATTCTGTTTAAAGAAAAAGGGAGGAAGGGGAAAAAAAAACAATGTCTTTTCTTTCATTCTTTGCTATGTTTATTTAGCTGATTTTGAGGCAAGGGTCATCTCTTCCAAGTTTTGCAGAGCACAGAAGAATCTTCTCTGTAATTAGGGCTGCTCAGAGCAGGGCATCAGATTTCTCATATTACAAAGGACAACAAAGGACATGACTGCAAAACACCTTTGCAGAGTAACTGTATTTTCAAAAGTGGATTTAACTGCCCTGGCAGATCACTGTACAAACATGAAAGGCAGAAACAAGGCATAGAATTCTACTAACGAATTCCTGTACTTACTACTGACAAAAGAACTTATATCAAAAATGACAAACAGCACGTTCTCAGACTACGGGCCAACATTCATATTTCTGCCTTCTCACATATTTTGTGACAATCCTGCAAGCTCTTGAACTCCAAGTGACTCAGAAAGTTATGAGGCCTTTTTCTCTATGTTTGTGTGTCTTATTCATCCAAAAATATTTTTAAATCCCTAAATTAAACCTTCCTTCCTAAGTGAGGTAGGTAAACTATACAGCAGGTCAAAGTAATGCATGTGCAAGTCTCTTGTCCATCCTTCACTTCCAACCCAACTTTAGTCATAAACAAACAAGGAGTAGTAACCAGAAGTTCTGGCACTTCAAAACCCATCTTAACTAATATATCATACACATTTCTCTATTTATTTTAACAAAACTTATAGGGCTTCTCACCACATACATTCTCAGCTTCTACAGAGGTATGACTACCATGACATTTTTCACACAGTTTGGGAAATCCTCTTGTATACCAGCCTGATTTTGCTGACTGCTGAGACAAAAAGAGCTCTCTGATGTGCTCGTAAGGATCTGGCATCATTCAGTAACCCACTGAGAACATTATGTTTCTGCAAGAGCAGCCCAAAGCAGTGAAAGTTTATGCTTTCAACTCTGATTATAAGGAAGCTATTAAGATTTTAAAGATTTTATAGCTGTAAGATTTTAACAGCTTCCTAATTGCCACAGAATTTTACCTTGAAAATCCTGAGTGTTTACAAAAACAAGAGTCCACATTTTCTAACCTTGACAGATTAACTGATGTTGCTCAGCATTTTGAAGCAGTTTGTTGTCCCAGGACAAGCATATTCCAAAGAAAACAACAAATGCTATGTTATACTACCTAGGTGGACTTGTGGGAGGGGAGAGGTGGGAGGAAGGGAGTGGAAAAGTTATTTTGGCAGCTTACAAATGACAGACAACTGAAAAGGAACAGATACAACATCCATCTACAGTCTTGTAAGAACTCAGGATAATTACAGAACTATTAGATCTACAAAATTCAATAATTCCAATCCAGACACGTGAATGTAATTGTTGTATGGCTTCTGGAAGGTTGCCAAAGCAGCCTTTTCCAGAAGCTCCCACTCATGAGCCTGTTCAAGAGCTTGTTTTTCATGAATGCAGCTGCTTTGCAGACTTACAGGAAAACTTTTAAAACTCAGCAGGAGAGCAGGGGGCAAGAAAGAAGTGCAGTAACAAAGGGAACAATGTTTGCTTGAAAGTTTGGCTTAATCTGTACTCCAGCCTTTTAAAATGTTAACAACAGCCAGAGGGTAAAAAAAAAAAATAGCTAGGAAATCAGCACTTTTTTCAATTGAGGCTTTGCCAGTTTTCCTAATGTGTTTAGGAGTTGAGCTGTACTGGGTCTCTAGCACCTGGCCAACCTTTGGGAAAATTCAAAATGTAAGGTGTGACAGCTAAGACACTTTACTGTTCTGAGAAATAAAATCAACTGACTGTTTAGCAGCATGGGTCTTATGACAGATGAACTAAACTCTCTTACAATGGCACAGGACAAAGGTACAAGAACAGTGGACTTGAAAGTCAAATGCTGTACTAAAAACAATTTGAAGCTACTGTTCCACCTGAAAATTAACTTCCCACACCTACCAGGGACTATTACATGCTGACATATGGGGAATATCCACACTGCAATAACAAGGCCCAGTTTTCAGAGTCCATTAGGTAGGAATCTCAGTTTGGATTTCTGGGAGAATAGTAATTTTTTCAATAGCAGAGAAGCCTTTAAAAATATATGTGGAATAATATTGACTCAGAAGAGAAAAATGACACTAGTTATAAAGGAGAAATTAAAAGGTTAGAAAATTGAAAGCAAGAGCCCCTGGGTGCGGCCGGGGGCAAGGGAAGATACCACCCCCCCGCCCTCCGCTTCTAAACTCTGAATTCTCTCATTTGGATGCAATTTATCCATGCAGTTTATCCATCCCATTTTCATATTGATTTCTCCATACCAGAAGCACTTTATTTAATGCTTTTATCATGAGTGTTTGCCTCTCCAAGTGCTGTCTGTAGCATGACATCCATGAAAGATGAAGAAAAGGTCTTTTCAAACATTTCATTGCTATTCTTTCCCTCAGCTTACCCCTCTATCCCATGCTGAGCATTGCTGAACTTTCAAGAGCCCCTATGCCTAGGTTTAGAGAGCATCAGACTCACGTGAAGTCTTGCAGAATAACTCTTGCAGGCTTAAATGGCACTTCGACATTCTTGTGTTGCACCTCTTTCCAGTTGAGAATATTCTCAACATCTCCCTTCTTCACTAGGAACTCATCACAGTTACGGATCGCCGCTTCCAAGAGGACTCGAATAGAAAATGGCAGGTGTGCTGCATGGGTAAGAGGCAAGAAACAAATTCAGTTTTTACCTTAGGGCATATGTCAGCAAATATAGAGTCCTACGCCTGGGGCAGACAGGGCCTTGAGTGCTTGTCCCAGTATTCTCACAAGGCTTTACCTCAAATTACCAGACACCCTTTTCCAGCCTCCAGCTTTGTCAGGAGGTCAGTGATAACTGATCTGTTCCACCCAATTCTTTGAGCAGATTTATTATCTTCTGTTCCTAAGTTATTCCATTCTTCTGCTGGGTAGTGGAATTGCATCTTTTTTTCCTTTAAACAATCTGAGTTTATCAGTCTTGGAATCCTGGACTGGATCAACTGATAATACCATACATGTATTTGTCTATTTTCTAAGACTCATCTCTGCTTTTCACACACCAAGTCCAATATTAATTAATTTCTCATTTACACACTATCTGAGCCTGCAATGGGTATGCATTGCTGATGTTCAGAGAAAATGTTCCTCCTCTTGCTTCCTGAATTCTCCTTAATCACCTGTTTCCTCTTTGAAACATGAAAAATACCCAACATAGACAGCTCCAAGCTATAGATACTCACTTTTGAAGTCAGTGGCTTGGACTGTAGGATTTTTACGAGTTCCACATAAAAGATGCCCGAGTACATTCAGATACTGTTAGAAGACTACAGAAAAAGCTTCCTCAGAAAGGATTTTCTAGCTACCACTCTTTTTAAGGCTTTTTAAAGCAATTTTTCTGGATGGTTCAGCCATATCAGTGTTAGGTCCTTTTCAGTCTTTCACAGCAGTATATGAGAAAACAGACGCTCTTAGTTTTGCCTAGTCCTCTTCATCCACTCAAATAAAACAAGATTGCTGTGTGCACAGCATGTTGAGAAAAATAAGTGTGATCTTTCCAGTATTTATGGAGTTCTAAGTTCTCAGAATTAAATTTTTCTAAAATTTTGTTTTTAAGGACCATCTTTTGAATTCATAGTTCTCTCCAGAGACCAAATATCATCCATTGTTACAATGTCTCTTCAGATTCTGTTCATCAATGTTAACAAAATGCTTTCCTTACGTTGTCAACATACCGTATCTCCCATCTTCCAATTTGCTCAGGTTAAAGAACTTCTTCAAAGGCTGTTTAGGGTCCAGTGGCTCCACAATCCATACAAAAGGGTTGCTCATGGTTATTCAAAACCCTTAGTGTCCCTAAAACACAAAAGAAAAATCAAAGCCATTTTCATGACAACCTGCATACAAAGTACATGTCCCAAGTTCTACAGTGTATCTGTCCCACACATAAGGGCTGTACCAGGCAAAAAAGTAGTGCAGTCTGTGTTAGTCATGCCCCTTCCCCTACAAATCTACTTGTAACACACCCTCAGAGACAAAAGGTATGCAGAAAGATAAGAGCTTTGTGAAAAATATGGATACACCAAGTGGTTTAAAAAGGAAGTTCAATGCCTGCACTATTCTCTTCCTTACACTGTTTCTAGACAGCCCTTTGTGCCTCTGTGTCCCCACAAATCACCAAGACAATGTGGTCCCATTTCTTAAGTGGCATTAGTCTAAAGCTGAAGAGACACGCATTTGCTTTCAAAGTTAAGAACAATTCAACTAGAACAGAAAACACAATAATTTTACTTGAGCCAGAAAGTGTTACAGACTAACATTATAAGCCCTGACTATGAGAGACCAAGGAACCCTCCTGAATTCAGAAAAATTTATTAGGGTCATCACAAAAAAAAAAAAAATTGAAGTAGACTCCACTGTAAGCATCATTTTAACTTGTGATCTTTTCTTTTTCGTAGCTATCCTAATGGTTTACTGGATAGAGCTTTCCACCGAGACCTACGACTTTTAGGGTTCCCCTATACAAATTAAAGATTCCCAATATCAAGGCCAACTAGCATGGAGGGGCCTAAATTCACACCAGAAACAATCTCCAGAAAAGGTTAACTGCATGCAAACTGCCTAATGGAACAGTTCCTAGGACACTCTTAAGATGTGAACTCTGCCCCGGGCTCTTTTAGGAGCACTAGCTTAGGCCAACACATGCCAAGGAGTAAGCTAACGATTTAACAGTAAGGACAATTCTCTTCCAGTGCCTGGCAACATTCCCAGACATGAATAAATTTTTTTTTAGAAGAGATATAATCACAGGCCTGATTTCTAGATCTGCTGTTTTCCCACAGCACTGAATGTCTTCATTCAAGTAATATTATCTTCCCTTGCCCCAGTTTTTCAAACAAAAAAGACCCAAACAACAAGGTATGAGATGCACATCCTGTGACGGGTCTTGGAGACTGTTTGATGCAAAGGAATGCACAAAATCCAGTATTTGTTAAAAACAGTTAATGCAAGACCAAAGAGTGAATTAATTAATCTCATCTGTCAGTCCCATTGACTGTTCTTGGAATACTATTATGTATACATTTATGGGGGATTTTTGAAGTATTCCAGCACAAATCACATATTTTGAAGACAACAACCTTAGAGGTTAGATTGAGATGGAGAGATAGCGGAAGTAGTGACAAAGGAAGGTCCAGGGTGTAAAGCAGCAAGATACCATAAAAGAAAGAAAAATTTCCAGAATTCTGTTGAACGAAACAATGGAAGTTTCTAGATAAAAAGTTGAATGCCCAGGGAAGGCAAAAAGGTAGACAAACGAACAGACGTCACCCCACCAAGTATATCCCCTATCACATTCCCATCTATAAAAGTTACTTTCTGGGATTCCTCTTCCCAGCTTTGCAGATACCCATCCTGCACACAAGCCCATGAAGTTTTAGGTGTCATCTTCTTTAATCAGTATGAACTACTCAGCTATTACTCTTCTGAGAAAATTCTGTGCTTCTAGAATTAAGTATGACCAAAATAAACTGCTTCCTCCCTCGTCTTGCCAGCTATGCTCCCAATGAGCTTTATTCTCTGCCTTCCAAGATGAGAATTTTGTTTTATGCATATCCACTTCTCATGGGAAAGTCTAAGGGTAACTGAAGCTAGAAAATGGTGGGATATCCCCTGATAGATAAAGCAGGAGATCATTACTTTGATATGACTATTAACGAGTCCACTATACTGAGTTCACATATTCTCGTCGAAGTATAAATTGCAGCTGTAACATTTCCCATCCAAATCAGTGTCTTGGCAAACCACAGCAGCAACTCAAGATGCTATGACACATTATCTGCTTGATACCATTTATTTGCCAGACATGACCCTCTTCCCTGTACACAGCTTTTATAGATCACAGTATGAGATACTTCAGTACAAGCTTGCTTTCATCAGTGAGCTACACAAATATGCCAAACTGTGGGGTGACGAAGGCCTAAACGCATGTTCTTTTCACCTGCTTGGTCACACTGACATGAACAACTCTGTTGCAACCTTGTAAGCAGTTTAGAAATCTCCACAAAGAGGTAAAATATCTAGCAAAAAGATCAACATGCAGCATTGCTGTAGCAAATTTCACAGAGCTGGAGAAGCCTCAGTCATACCAACTACTATTTCCAGACAGTAAAATTATAAATCAAGTGGCCACAGCACAGAACTAAAGCTAGCGATCCACCAAAAAGATGCAAAAGAGCAATACTCTGCAGATTGAGTACACCAGCATTTAAGTAATCACTGCGATAGATACAGATTAACTTGTGATTGCAGCACAGAGTATTTATTCACGTTTTGCAGGAACTGAAATGTAAATATGCAGACAGGCTAGCACACAGGGGAGCCGACATCTGTCTGCCTGGGATTGGCGCAGCACGCAGTGTCACATGCATTGACCATGGCCAGTGCCACATGACCACAGTAATAGCTGATCACAGATACCAAAGAAAGCACTTGATCTTCTGCCTAACAACCTCAAAACCATTTGCGTGGAGGTCACATCTGAAACGGGATTCCACATAGTGGCCCTCAGGAAGACAGAAGTACAGACTAAGAGGTTTCTGATGGGCACCAGCCACCCACACAAACGTTGCTCATCCTGGCCTTGGGAAACAGCAGCAACTCTAGCCCAAGCTATTCCCTCTCTCCAATTATCCAAACGCCCACTCTTTAGTGTTTGTGCAATTCCAAGCCCTAAGGACTCCAGGGGTTTCAGCTGACTGAAATATATGAAAATGGTTCAACTGGGGAGCTAAAAAGAAAAAAAAAAAAAAGGAGCAGAATCTCATTACTAGAACCTTCTCAAAGGGTTGCATGACTTTTATAAAGTGTACCAGGGAAACAATAGCTTTATTTTAGCCCTTCCTGTGCCTACTAATACAATTCTGTGAACACTGATAATTAGTCTCATACTAAAGCTGATCATCTTTAAACCTACCTTCCCCATCTATCAATTTTGTTTTCTACTCACCTTGTTACATCAACGCAGTAGTAGCTTAGCATCGTGCCACCATCTCTTATCAAAGCATGCCTCCAATTCACCCACAGACGGCACACCAGTTCATCACAGAAAGTCCGATTTCTAGCTTTCCTCTGTCCCAGCTCCTTTCTCCTCCAGAGACGCAGAAATGCGGAAGGATTCTAACCATGAATACCAGGAGGGGCAAATTTATTTGGACAAGGTCAAAACCTTCCAAATCTAAGAAAAGGAATCTGTTTTTTCTGTATGCAACATTTGCCCTTCAGAGTAGAGAATGAACCCTTGGCTGTAACAGCTCTTCCATACTGCCTGTATCCCTAGATACGACACAAGAGGCTTCAAATTTCTCTGGCAACAGAAGTTTTATATTGTGATTCTCTAACAAAGCATTTGCACTAGCAAAATCTGAGTACAACAACATTCCTCACTTCATCTGTACTGAGCGAGTCAGCAAACAACAGCTCAGATATTTACTAGCAACAAAAGACCAGTGAAAAAATGCCTACTGGCTGTGTTCTGTGTGTGGATCTCTATCGCAGCCTGAAGACCACACCATTTGATGACCATCACCTAGGAATTACGCACAAGCCCAGGGGGACAGAAGGAAAAAGGTGTATGTACCCTCCTCTTTCCTTGTACCCTCCTCTTTCCTTGTCTTCTCTTAAAAGTTAATCAATTAAATAAAATACACTCAAAGCATGTTAAAGTCTCATGTGGATCTCTGCAAAGAGGACTAAAGTATGTAACTTAAAATAACTTTTTTTTTTTAAAAAAAAGAACATTCACAGGAGATTTAGACATATGTTGCATATGTTGATTTCAAATCTTAAGTTGATGTAACTTTTCTGAGTACCCAACATAAACACTGTACTTGTCCCACCACACCACCTTCTATGGGAAAAGGACTCAGTTCAGTAATTGAGGTACTATTTAAAGCATGTTCTTGACTGACTGTGTGTCCTGGACTCTCCTTCAGACCCCTTTAAAAGCAGTAGTGCCACTTGGAACAATTTCAACAAGCAGAAATTTTACTGAAATTAAATGGAATTGTGAAAGCATCCTGATGTATCCCCTATTTTTGCACTTGCAGAAATTACCTTATGCAGACCACAGGGAGGAAAAAGGTGTGCTGTTCAGTCTCCCACTATACCTAACAGAGACCCTGAAGACACCAGAGTTTTTTTAGACATCACTTTAACATACTATTCTACTCTCTTTAGAGCTGCAGGAGAGTCTGAAGGTGAAAATGAATACAGCTGGTCAGGCTAAAAGCAACAATCTCTTTCACACCACTAAAAAAAAAATAAGTATTTTTTTTTAAAACATAAGTGCTCTTATCTTCATTTGTTGTACCGGATGAGTATCAGAAACAATATTGTTTGGGGTTTTTTTAGGGATCTCAGGGGAGCCAAATCATCTCTTGCCATCCAGAATAAGAGAAAACATTAGCACATAGAATATCTTTCTGCTAAAATACATACTGGCAGTAAATCATGCTCTTTCTGTAGTACATGACATGACAAAAGTAAGTACTCCCGATTAGTAATAAACACATTTATTAGAAAAGTCCCTGAGGACAAATCAAGGACACAGACTTATTCTGTTTGACCTGCAGAAAGGAAAAAAAGAAAAGCCTCTGTATGAGATTTCTGTCTAAGCTTCAGGCCATAAAGTGAGAACAGAACAGGCATAGCCATTCAGCATTTTAGTACAGACATATCGATCTCACTCAGGAAAAAAGAACATGTCTCCACCACTGCCTTTTCTATTCCATCTTTGGTTTCTCAGTTGTTCTCTTTCAAATGATGTGAGGGTGCCTGCACTGTTCATTTAAAGCACCT